TCACAAACGTCCACCAATGAAGCACTAATTTAATCATATCTGTAAATAAAAACAAACCGATATACGCGCCTGGCAACAACACAAAAAAAAAATGTGAAACTTAACTCTGAAAACCGGTATGTGTCCGGTGTCGACGCCCAATAAAATGATACACGGCAAGTCTCTAAGGGTGTCTTTTTATACCTGGCCCAGCCACCCACCTTTCTACCCCACCCCCTTTCACCTCCACGATAAAAAAATCTGCACTATCAAAACTATGTACTGCAGATTTCTAATCCTATGGTCAACTCTGCCTGTCACGAACCACTACTATCGGCCAAAACTATTCTTTACGTTTATTTAAAGCGCGCGTCCATCCCTGATGGGTTTGTTGTTTTTTTCCGAAATAGCCAAGTGAGCGCTATTCAGTATTCTTCTGTTATTTGACCAACCTATAAAATTATTTTCTTTTTTAATCTGAAAACTGTTTGGTGGACAGATTGACTTGAAATCTCCCAAATTCCCTACTCTTTTATACAGTGGTCGCTTCGATGGTTCAAATTTCAATATTTGGACTATTTTCGGCGTTTGCATAAGCTGCTTCTATGGAGATTCGGTTCGAGCCATCAAATGGGTACGTTGTTTAAAAGTCGTGGAGACGGGGGTGCAGGTAGATCTTTCTAGTCATCCACCCACCTTGCATAAAATGGGTAGGTTACTGGATATGAGCGAGATGTCGTAGTAGGATCTTCCAACCATCCACCCACCTGCATCCTGTTTGTTTGATTTATTTCACGACCTATGACGTAAAAGACCCCCCCCCGCCCTTTTTTTCTCCACACACCTTCCCAGCCCCGTACATTTACCTCATGCGAGAGGCCAGATCTTGTTTTCTTCATCGGATAAAATTAGACCGATCACAGTATGGCCTTTTTTTTTCCTCCGGAGTCTTAGGAATAATTGAAACTCCTTCTTGGCCATAAACATAGGACTCGGCCTAACCCGGCCCCGACTAACTAATCGATCATGGATGTGGTCAGATGAAAATGGAAAAGACTAACGAGATGGAGTCATGAGTCTTGTCTCTGATTAACTAATCATAAAAGTCAAAGGGTTGGAATGGACGTCATCGGATCGTACCTTTCTATGAGCTAAGTTTCTCAAAAAAAAAAAAAAAAAAAAAAAAAAAAAAACTTAATTTTAGATTTTTATAAACGTTATTTGTAGTCTAGGATTCAATTTTATAAATAAATCCTTCGTAATTGCAAATGAAGCCTCGCAAAACATTGGAAGATTTTTTTCGGAAATCCCCAATACTGACGCCATACAGTGATATGACTGCGCGTGGTAAACCAAAAGTTGTATGATCAGTGCAGTCTTTCGACCGTTGAAAAAAACAAACTTGTCGCTGTGTAAGCTCTTACACACCACGTGCTATATAAATCAGGAACACGAACATTGTCATTTTGACGCCACGTAGCATTTAAGAAATTCGTACACGTCACTGGTGTATGCTGGACGCCGTACGTCGTTAAACATTAACGCCTCATTAAATCATCTCCTTATACGTGTCCGGACATTTTACATGTATCGCCCTTTAAGAAAGGAAGTATGATAAGTAAATTGAAATACAAATGAACTGTATAAAAATAATTTATTTGATATTAAGAAGACTTTACTTTTTAAAGCAGCGAAATAAAATGAAACGTTTAGATTACTTTTAATTAATATAGTTAATAAGAAGGCCCACAACTTTTGTGGAAGAAGTTAATTTTTTTTTTAAACTGGGAAACTTAAATTAAAAATATGGGTTGTCGTTTAATTAATATAGTTAACAGTAGGTCCACAATTTTTGTGGAAGAAGTTAATTAAAAAAACTGGAAAACTTAAATTATAAATATGGATTATCTTTTTCTTTTTTTAATTTTCCTAACTTTAAATATAATTTACATCGCTGTTCCCACAGTCTAATTCAAAATTAGCATATACGATGATTAAGGTGGTCATAATCAATTTCGGCTGACGAACTATTTATACGTCTCTGAAAGTGCAGATATCTTCGAAGATAAAGCGTAAAAAAACATCCAATGCGTCTTGGTGGATGCAACCGCTAACCAGTTCGCCCACTGACAACGCCAATGCAGCCACACGTTAGTACGTTACGTTGTACATAAAAAGAAATGAAATGAAAACACAGATTTCTACCACAGACATAATATAGCCTAGATAGCAGGACACGATGAGAGAGAAATCTTGAGGAATGTGTCCTTCACAGAACGAACCATGATTAATTACGAACCAAATCAGTGCCTGGAATGGATTGACTCAATCGCTGACATTCAGTGTGAATGGGCGCCCGATGAGATCCCAACAACTAGGTTAGGACACGCGTCAGCTATAGAACTTGGCAATAAATTGGATAAACATCAGAGACGTGTTCACGGGACTTTTATGGGCTTGTACGCACCTGGGGATCTCCCTCCCCACACTTAGACACACGTCTGTTGTGTTTTTAAACATTTTTTTTTAAATAAAGAAAGATATTAAATATTAAAGACAACCAGATCAAATGTTCATTGTATCGTTTCATGGAGTGTGAAGCTCCTCTTAGCAAACTGACTTTTTTTTTTCGGATCCACCAATGTAAATATACTGCGTTGACCTAACCTAATCCTACTGGCGTGCGTCACTGGATCAACAGAATCCCTAGGAGGGGCGGGAAAAAAGTGGTGACAGGCCCTTATATTTACATTTAAAGTTTAATATCCACCAAATACAGGGGACAAAACTTGGAAAATGAAAACACCACACTGCCCATGCATCTCTCGGGGCTGTGTAGACCTGGAAATCACAACAACAACGACAACAAAAACTTAGACTACTGGTTAACGACTCTAATACAATTTAATCTCCAGAGCAACGCGCCTCGTGGGGATAATTATATAAAAAATATATTGAGGTATGAGGTCAAATGTTCAAAATTTTAAGAACATTTTCACAAACCATCCATTGCCAAATACATGAGATTATTGAAATGTTAAACTCGAATTCCATATGACGTTATTTTTCTATCGAAAAAAAACACCAAAAACAAAACAAAACAACAACAACAAAAAAACTGTACTGGAATAAGCATGTGGCTTTAAATAATGTCCGAAGTAATAACACAACGACCAAAGGGTATGATTCTCTTTCTCTCTATCTTCACGTCTCTCTCCAATTCTCTCCCCATCTCTCTCTCTCCCCATCTCTCTCTCCCCATCTCTCTCGCCATCTCGCTATTTCCATCTCTCTCCATCTCTCTCTCCGCCTCTCCCTCCATCTCTCTGTCCACAACTCTCTCTCTCTTCCCATCTCTCTCCACGTCTTTATCTCTCCATTCCTCCCCATCTCTTTCTATCTCTCTCTTTCTCTCTCTATCCCCCATCTGTGTGACTTTGTGTGTGTCGTTCAACTTTTCTCTCCCTCTTACAATCTATGTCTCTCCATATCTATCTTTGAATTTCACACACACACCCCATGGCATTAGTCGCACACTTTCCAGGCACCTTACCATCTCTACTGTTAGTCTGAATCTGAAAGAAAATATATTTCTGAATATGAGTATTATAATTATTAGTGATTAACTATCCATGCTTGGTGTAAGTTTGTGGAATGAGAAGATCGTTGATGCTGCAGTGACCCACTCCATGCTATTCCTAACATCCGTCCCAGGCAATGCAACCATGGCACAGCCGGCCCGTGTTTTGAAGGCACCAAGAGCGCCTTTACTGGAACGCCAGCCAAGACAGCGGGAATATTTTCGTAGACCGCGGTCCTCACTTCACAAGATTGAGCATTGTTGGGTAACAGCAGCTGATGATGGTGGTGGTGCAGTGGTCATGTGATTTCTTCCATTGAAGTCGTGGTCGATAGCCTACCGTTCAGCCCAATGAGACATCCATCCAGCCAGCTTGCCTAATCCGAAAAGCTGGCCTGAAGGGTGTACGAATGTGACCAAATCAGGGGCATTACACTTTCATGGGGAGGCCGTTCACTGCTTGGGTGAATAGCTGTTGGCTGCAGCCTGAAGGGATTCCAGGGCGCACGTGACGTCGTCTGCTGTGATTTAACCAGCACCCTTTAACTGCGGGCCCGTATCTTTGTAATGAGACTCACAAAGAAATTTAAGCTCTAGAGCAGAGTTTCTTTACCTTTTTTTATGTTTTATGGACACCTTTGCCATTCAGGTGAAGGCCATTGATCTCCTTTGAATAAAAATTTCAATGGATAAACAAAATTACAAAAGAAGTGCAGCTCACACATCCTCGACTGTTGACCACATGTTAAGAACTCCTACTCTAATTAGGTAGCCGATTTCTCGATGGAGTTGGCTATTTAATAGTAAGATGAGTACGGGTGTATTCAAGTTCTTACCGAATGATTCCACCTAAATTTGAATCTACGAATGAAATTTATGAAAACTTATGACTCGATTTATATTGCAATATTCTACATTAAGTTGTAAATGGGTGAATCGGGAGTAAAGGGTTTGGATTGGGGGTAGAATTAAGAGTAGAGCGTAGCATCTTATGTCATATTAATTTTATAAACATTTCGTTTCAATAAAATTATTTAACAATTATTGTATTGATAGTCTCTCTCTCTCTCTCTCTCTCTCTCTATATATATATATATATATATATATATATATATATATATATATATATTTATATATATATATATATATATATATATAATATTATGTCATATTAATTTTATAAACATTTTGTTTCAATAAAATTATATAACAATTATTGTATTTATAGTCTCTCTCTCTCTCTCTCTCTCTCTCTATATATATATATATATATATATATATATATATATATATATATATATTAATCATTATGCATTGAAAAATATCTATGTACAGATTTAGTTAATATAACATTAACGGCCTTAACCATTAAAATTTAGTATATTTATATTAATACTTTCGTTTGAGAACACTTTTTAGGTTTACCGAATAACGATAATCCAAATGTAACCGGAAGTACATGGTAAATTGCTATATCACTTAGGCTGTGGCTGTCTTACTCAAAATCGGAAAACAAGATATCTAAAATCGAGCGTATTAGACGCTTAAAATGGCAGCCATGATGACAATAACATCTGCAGGTATATTATGTATAGAAGTGCTTTGTATTATTTCATTATAGTATTGAAATATGAAAAACTGTCATTCGCCGAATTATGTTCTGTATCTTTCATTTTCATATCAATCTAGCACGGTTAGCACGTCAATCATGACAATACAATACATTCAATGCAGTGAATTGAAAACAATCAATAAAATAAAAAGACAGACAGTCAACATCAATACAAACAACAATCAATCATATAGGCCCTATCCCTGTACAGTAAGCAATTACTTGAAGAAAAAAACTAAGACGGGGACCATACTTACCCATATTTCATTACGCGAAAGTTTAGGTAGGGTCAGGGTGGTTTATCATTTTGTAATTTGACAAAATGCAGTATGATTATGCTTAGGCTCAGGTCTAGGTGGCAGGTGGGGAAGGAAGCATTGAGCTCTACCCATTGCCTATGATTAGGGACCTCGGTATCGACCGGAAATACCCAAAAAACAGTATCGTATTTTCATTGTCATAATGGCGACCTCTACTTTTTAATTTACTGAGGGTATCGTTGTTTCGCGTTTTATAATCGATTTTCAGCTTAATAATATACTTTTACTTCTGCCAATTACTTAAAGCTGATATCTTTCCTGTTATATTAAGAGTTTGTTTGATTTTTTGGGTCAAGATTAAGCTTTGAAATTTTGAAGTTAAAAATTGGTCAACTTCACTCAGTAATAACTTTTTTTTAAAAATGCGCTCAATAATAAAAAAAACTCTGCTCATATAATTTATAGGTTCATTTACAACATATCAAAAATTCATGAGTGTAGACTCAAAAACAAATTTCCAAGATGTCATTTTTTTAGGCTATGTAATTTGTCATCAAGGCCACCGTGCTTGTCTGCTTATTTCCAATTATCGATAGCAGCCAAGGGGTAATTAATAATTCATTAAGTTGGTTATCCAGAGTGTAAATGGGAAATATAACTAATTATAAATCATTTTATATAAATAAATAATGTTTTATAACATAAATAATTATTATTGGCTTATTGAATATCAGTAATTTTAATATCAGTTGGTTAACATGGACCTGGCTGACACTGACATGGGATTGATTAGCTCTTGTCTTTGACCTATATAGTGATAGGCTTAGTAAAAGTATTATAATAGTAATTATACTATTATAAATGATTTAAGGAGTGGGATAAATAGCTTTTATTACAACTAATATATTTATAATTTATATTAGTTTATATATTTATAGATAAATATTTATTTGTATGTATTAGGGGTGTGCCGGATCCGTTTTTTCCAACCGGATCCGGATTTTCTAATGCGAAATCCGCCGGATCCGGATTCCGGTTTCTCCCGGATTTTGGTACTATTGGTAGATACTTCGGTAAGTCAAGGTGGACTACTACTTTTTGTGTATGGGAATTCGCAATCGGCGCCAAAAAATCCGAGTTTTTAATTTTCCGATGTGTGTGTCTATTTATTATTAAATTAGTACTTTCGATATATATTTGAGTTCCGTTCCATTTGGATAAGTGTCTTACGAGAGACGCCATGTTTCTACGCGTTCGCAGCAGGTTATGCAGCTCGCTCAACCTAATTTCGCCATGGGGTTGGCCACGCCCCCCTTTTTAATGGCGGAAGTTGACGATACTTAGGAAATATTAATTTATTATCACTATTTACATCAAAATAATTGATAACTTGTGTTTCAGAATGCATTTAAAGACATTTAAACTGGAATGTTTTAATTTGAGCTTTAACAACCCGGTAGAATCCATATTATAAATGATCAGAATTTACCGTGTGCAACACGTTGTCATTGGCAACCATTCACAGCCACTTGCATAACTGTATCGTAGTACTACCTCAGAGTTTCATTCATAAGAGTTTGCCGTGTGCAAAAACTATTAAACCATTGGTCAGGGAAAGCTTTAATTAATTATTCATGTGCCAAAGTTGAAAGTTTAAACTAAGTCTAAACAGTATTTTAGTGATAAGGCAGGGAATGCGTTGCCTTATATAAACTATATAGTCATTGCGCATGACGGGATTGGTGGAATGAGATCACAGAATGTGGAGATGCAGTCCATGTTAAAAAATGACAAACCAAGTCGTACTTTAAAAATTCATAACTTTAAAACTACAACAGCTAAATATATGATTTTGGTGTTATAATTCTTTAAAAAATTACATCTTTTCAACTATGCCATTGGTTTATTTTTACAAAAAGTTTAAATTTTCTAATCAAAGTCCCTACACTATTGGCCACTATTAGCGGTGCTGACTCTAGCCTCTGGTATGTACGGAATATTAAACATAAAACAAGCTCAACGCTCGAAACAATCGATTAATGTATCGTGATCGTGTGGAATTCGGGAAAGAGAATTACTTTTATTTCAGATTATGATCCGGTGAGTCACAAAATCTGACAAATTCCGAAATCCGGTATATTCCGGAATCCGGTTGTTCCGGATACATGTAAATCCGGCGGAACCGGATTTCACCGGATAGTGCAAAATCCGGCGGAACCGGATTCCGGACCGGAATCCGGCACACCCCTAGTATATATATACCGGTATATATAATGACCATAGGCTATAGGCCTTGTATACATATAGTATAATACAAAGTATACTATATCAGGGTTAAGGCCTAGACCCAACCCAACTAATTTGTAGGGCCTATTATAATAAATTATATTTAATGATATTTTAGGATATGTAATAAAATTTTAATGAATATTTTGATTCTTACTAAAGGCATAAACTAATAAACTAAGTAAAACATTTTAAAATATTCACTTACCTTTGGTATTGAAATATCCTACATTTAATCACATATCACAATATTCCACAAGAGAATTATTATATAATCCTCACTTTCTCAAAGAAAAAACACACTTTCTGGCACTACACTCCAAGAATTACTTAAGATATTATTACTAAAGAACAATCATAAAAACCTGTACTTACCTCTAGTAAATGACTAGAACTTATTTTATTAACAGCTAAAGTCAAAGTTGATTCTAATAATACAATTTGATTTGTAAAACAAGATTACAAACTTAAAATAAATGACATGCTGATTGTTTTGTCATTCTTATAGGAATAATATAATATATAGTATACATATGTAGAAAATGGTAAAATAAAAAGTGTAATTGTCAATTTTAAATAAATAAAACAAATAATCCCTTTATTATTTGTTTATGCTTATAAATGCTAAACAATTCCACAGAAAATCTGCAATTAATATCTAAAGAATATTATTATTATTATGATTTTTGGGAAATTAAAAACAAAATTAAAACAAAATTTTAATTAATTAAACAAATAAGTGATGATTCAGCATTTGTATACATTTTTAATAAGCAAATAATAAAGTGTTGTTTTTTTTTTTAATATTTGCGGCACATTAACAAAAACTAACATATATTTTGTGGCTTTATTTAGAAGTACTCTTATTTAACTATGTTCCTTGTAAATATTATATTTTTGTCTCATTTTATAATAAAGTTATAGCATAGGCCTTAAAAAAAAAAGCAAACTGAGGGTCACAAAATGTGGAGGAAAATCCCATAGTAAAAAAGTGGTTTTGAGGTCCCTACTAAAAAATGCATAACTTTTGAACCACTTGAGCTAGAAAGTTGATCTTGGTGTTTTTGTAATCTATTCTCCAGGCTCTATACAGCTGTAGTATTTTTATATTTTTAAAAATGTTTTGAAATTTTTATCAAAGTGGCTACTATGATGCTCAAAGCGCTAGTCGCCATACCCAACACCAGCCATTTATTCTAGGCCCCTTCTGTAATAAGTCATTAGTGTGTATGTTTTGAGTCCTAAGAGTAGGTACTTTGGTTTATAAAATTTAAAAATTCAAAAAAAAATTGCAAAATATCCAAAATCAACTTTTTAAAAAAATTAAACCAAAATCAACTTTTGGCTAATCCTAGTTATGATTACCACGACTTATTTTCCAGGGAGTGACTTCCCTTTGTTTATTTTTACTAAATTATTTTAGGGATCGATTTAGGGTTCAGGTTAGAAAAGGGGATAGATGACTTCACGTGACATGTTAACCAAGATGGCGGCCATTGAGAAAATAGTGGCAATCGTAGTCAAAATTTACCCAACTTTCTATAGTATATGTAGTAGTTCTGAGATACGAATTTTCAAAGTACGTTTTCGCTTGTCCTTTTTTAACATGGACTTCATGTCCACATGTGTGTCATTCTGTGACCCAATTCTGCAGTTCGAGTCACGAGCTATATAACTCTTGTTTTCATGATAATTTTATACGACTTTTATTTTCAGAACTAATGCTTTATTAAAAAATAATTTTAATAGTGTTATACAATTATAAATAAATTGTATCTTATCTAACTATGCTTTATCACTATGTATATCAGTAAATTTAATATTATGCATTAATATGTGGCTTTCCTGTTTACCAAATCTACCACATCCATTATACCTGTATATTATCTATAGTCTATATAAGGCAAGGCATCCTCTTATTACTAAATTACTGTTTGGGGACTACTTATTTTGAACTTTCAACTTTGGCACATGTCTAATTAATTAAAGCTTTCTCTGATCAATTGTTTAATTGTTTTTGCACATGGCAAACTCTGATGAATGAATGAGATAGTAGTACTATGGTATAGCCATTATGTTGGTGGCTGTGAATCGTCGCCCATGACAACGTTTTGCACACAGAAAATTCTGATGATTTATAATATGGGCTCTACCGGATTTTTGAAGCTCAAATAAAAATATTCATGTTTAATTTTAGATGTCTTCAAAATGCATTCTGAAACATAAGTTATCAAATATTTTGATATATATAGTGTTAATAATGCAATATTTCCTAAGCTACATATCAGCGTCTTCCGCCATTTAAAAGGGGGCGTGGTCACTAATCCTAAATGGCTTGTGTGATCTTTGCATAATGAGGTCTACATTGCAGAGAATTGTGACAATGTCTTATGAGCTAGCGCAATGAAATTTTGCACACATATACCTCAATATATTGTGCTGACATACAATTAGTATGAAAGACATACTTTCAACATTTGGATAAAATGTTTATGTTGAAAGATGCCTTATATTGATATACAATTTTCCTCAATTAAAGTTGATGTAAAGAACAAAGAAACTTATTGGGAATGTAGGTCAACATTTCTTCTAATGTAAATGGGGGGAGTCAGACCTTAATTATGGGGCAAAAGGGCTCCAGCATTATTAAAATTACACTCCAATTAAAAACAAAAACAAAAAAAACTCGGATTCCATTGTGCCGAAGCCCATTTCCAGTACTAATTTTTTGTTGTGTACCTTGCAGTAACGAAGTACCTACTAAGAGCATACAAAAGGTTTGAAAACACTAAAAATTAGACACCATCTGAGTCCAATCCCCTGGTAGCTAAACTAATAAAGATAATTTTCTTATTCAACTTCAGTTAAGAATATTACTGACATGTCTACCCAGTTAAACTTATTTTTGACATTAACCCCCCTCAAAATCTTATTTTAAGTGACAAAATAACAGTTTTCATAAAAAAGTAAAAATACCAAAAAATTGTAAAAGTATTGAGGTCTGGTATTGGCCTTTGATTTATTTTGCAAATGATCTTTTTATGAAACATATTTAGTATTATTAGAAAATTATGCTTAAAGACTCCAATGGTCTCTGTATGCCTAAAAACCACTTGCCAATTCTAAGTGATTACCTGTTCGTACCAATTGTCAAAAAATACTTTTGGTAGTATTATTTACAGTTTATGAAAATTTATATCTTGGTGAAAATTTATTAATTTTTTTAGATGAATTAATTTTCGTTGTTTTTTGTGTTTTCAGCTGGTGTGATTTCTCTTCTTGACGAGCCTGAACCACATCTACAGACTTATGCCTTGAACAAGTTGGACAACATTGTTGATGTATTCTGGGCAGAAATATCAGAATATGTAGATAAGATTGAAGTCTTATATGAAGATCCCCTGTTCAAATCCAATCAGCTGGCCGCTTTGGTAGCTTCTAAAGTTTATTATCATCTTGGAGCATACGAAGAGTCGTTAACATTTGCTCTAGGTGCCGGCCCACTTTTCAACGTTAACGACACCTCTGAGTTTGTTGAGACGATCATCGCCAAATGCATTGACTTCTACACCAAGATGAGAGTTCACAATGCTGATGCCTCAAATGAGGCTGACAAAAAAGAAATTGATCCAAGGTTGGAGACGGTGGTGAACCGAATGTTTCAGCGCTGTCTTGATGACAAACAGTTCAAGCAAGCTGTTGGCATAGCACTTGAAACAAGGAGGATTGATATATTTGAAAAGGCCATCAAGCTCGCCGACGATGTGCAAGGCATGCTCTCCTATGCTTTCAAAGTGTGCATGTCTCTCATTCAAAGCCGTAGCTTTCGCAACACCATTCTCAGGGTTTTAACTAGCCTCTACATGGGACTGGGCACCCCGGATTACATCAATGTCTGTCAGTGTTACATATTCCTTGATGATGCCCAGGCCGTTGCCGACATCCTTGTGCAGCTGACAAAAGGCAACGAGGACTCTGTTCTCATGGCCTATCAGATCGGGTTTGACCTGTATGAGAGTGCCACCCAACAGTTTCTTCAGCGTGTGCAGGCAGCACTCAGAGTTTCAGCACCGGCTCCCATTTCTGCTCCAGCTGCCATGAATACCAAGAAGCCAAGCTCTGATGTTGATGATAAAGAAAAGGAGACTGTAATGGATACAGATGAAGCTGTGGGCTCTACAGAAGCAAAACCACCTACAAAAGATCTCAGCAGTTTAACCGATGAAGAGAAGCGTCAGCAGGAGCGCATTGAGCGTTTGCACACCATCCTCGGCGGGGAAACTAGTATCTTCCTTCGTCTCCAATTTCTGATCAAGAACAACAAGACGGATATGCTTATACTAAAAAATACCAAGGATGGTGTCAGGAACTCTGTGTGCCATACTGCTACGGTCATAGCCAATTCATTCATGCACTGTGGAACAACATCAGACCAGTTTCTTCGTGATAATCTCGATTGGCTTTCAAGGGCCACAAACTGGGCCAAGTTTTCAGCCACTGCTAGCCTTGGGGTTATCCACAAGGGTCATGAGAAGGAAGCCCTGAATCTCATGTCCCAGTATTTACCCAAAGACATGGGACCAGGATCGTCTTATTCAGAGGGCGGTGGTTTGTACGCACTGGGCCTGATCCATGCTAATCACGGTGGAGAGATCACTGACTACCTCTTAAACCAATTAAAAGATGCTTCGACCGACATGGTCCGACATGGAGGGTGTTTGGGTTTAGGTCTTGCTGCTATGGGATCTGCCAGGCAGGACATATATGAGCAGCTCAAGTTCAACTTGTTTCAAGATGATGCAGTGACCGGAGAAGCAGCTGGCCTTGCCATGGGCTTAGTGATGTTAGGTACAAAATCATCTACAGCCATCACTGACATGGTACAGTATGCCCAGGAGACACAGCACGAAAAGATCCTGAGAGGTTTGGCTGTAGGCATTGCTCTCACTATGTATGGGCGCCTAGAAGAAGCGGATGCCCTAATTGAATCACTGATGCGAGACAAAGACCCCATCTTACGTTGGTCTGGAATGTACACCCTTGCCATGGCCTACTGTGGGACAGGAAACAATCAGGCTATCCGCAGACTGCTTCATGTGGCAGTCAGCGATGTTAACGATGATGTCCGCAGAGTTGCTGTTACTTGTCTTGGCTTCCTTCTCTACAGAACCCCCGAACAGTGTCCAAGTGTTGTCTCCCTTCTTTCTGAAAGCTACAACCCCCATGTTCGTTTTGGAGCCGCTATGGCTCTTGGCATTGCATGTGCTGGTACAGGACTAAAAGACGCCATAGGACTTTTAGAGCCTATGACCAATGACCCAATCAACTATGTCCGACAGGGTGCCCTCATTGCCTCCGCCCTCATCCTTGTCCAGCACAATGAATCCACCTGTCCCAAGGTTACCCACTTCCGCCAGCTTTATGCCAAGGTTATAGCGGACAAGCATGAAGATGTAATGGCTAAATTCGGGTCAATCCTTGCCCAGGGTATAATTGATGCCGGTGGTCGTAACTGCACCATATCCCTGCTGTCTCGTACAGGGCACACCAACATGGAAGCAGTTATGGGCATGCTCGTCTTCTGTCAGTATTGGTTCTGGTATCCTCTTACCCACTTCCTCTCCCTTGCTTTTAAGCCTGCCTGCATCATTGGTCTAAATATCGATCTAAAGATGCCCAAGATAGAGTTCAAATCTAATGCCAAGCCATCTACATATGCATATCCTCCTGTACTTGAAGAGAAAAAAGACAAAGCCAAAGAAAAGGTGTTTTTTAGTTGTTGCTTTTTTAAAAATTTGTTGCTATGAACACCCAATCAGATCTAATATAAATTTAAATATAATAATTTTAAAACACAAATCACATGATATACCTACTACCAGTTACTGTATTCTGTCCATGTTAATATTAAATGCAAGTTTAACTACATCTTAGGTTGAAACTGCAGTGTTATCCATCACAGCCAAACAAAAGAAGAAAGAGCTGGAGAAAAAGAAAGACTCACAGACCACTGTTGAGTCCATGGAAGTTGATGAGCCATCTTCTAAAAAGGAATCTGCTTCCAAGGATAAGAAAGATAAGAAAAAGGTACTCCATGATTAATGCCACCTTGTGCCAAAAAATTATTTCCTTGGATTAACCTCTGTAATAAATAAGTCTTGTCTTAGTAGCACTGTGGTTACCTTACAGTAGCAAGACATCAAAAGCATCACGGGTTATTTTGAAGCCACTCTACATCATTAGATTGAATTTGATTTGGCTTAAGCTAGTGCAGTGATTAGATATGGTTGGGTGGCCTAAGAGTGCAAAAAATGGCGATCTATTACCCAAATATTATCAGTCCTTCAATTTCTATTTGTTGAACTACAGGAAGCATCATCATCAGATAAAAACAAAAACGCAGGTGAAGATGAATCAACCGAGTCCCTTCTGACTGAATCAATCCCAGAAAAGAAAGAGCCTGAACCAAACTTTGAGATCTTGTCTAACCCAGCCCGGACAATGAAGGTATATAGATATTATTGTTACAATTTTACTTGAGGTTTACCTGCAATGATTTCATATTTGTATTCATTAAAAAAAAAGACTCCCTATTCCCCATCTCAGAAGTCAGAGGCATTGAAAGTCTGTATGATAAAGAGATAACTCATTTGTTACTATTGCTTTTTACAACCACCAAATAAATAATTTTAATACTCACACCCGCTTGTGGTTACACATTGTAAACCATGTAGCTGTTACCTTCTTGCTGGTTTTTTTTTAAATTTTGACATTTTATTTCATAAATGCTAACGCTAGGCAAGTTGCATTAATATATATATAAAAATAAGCTAATGTCACCATATAATGCCGAGTTTAATAGCTCAAAACGTAAAATTCCCCATAATTGCATCAAACAGGGAGTAAATTTATTTTCAGTAGCCATGAAAACTAAAATTCCTGCTCTAAATGGATTTCTTAAGAAAAATGATAGTAATTTTTGTTTTGTTTTACCGACATCAAATCAATTTAAATCGCCTAAAACTGATATGTAAATGTGTGTGATCTTTAAAAATTAATTATTATAATAAATAATAATATTATAAATTTGCCATAAATTTAAAAAATATTTAAGGATTATTTTAAGTATACTATCTGAACGTGAGAGTTAAGATATTAGTATTCAATTTTGACATCGAAATTACAAGACCCTATTTTTAGGTTTTTCCTAATATTAATGACGCTGAAGTGCCTATAAAATGAGACTGACGCAGTCTGAAAGCAAATATAATTTTAAATTTATAGCAATTTAAGTATGAACCTTAATGTCGGAATGTATTTTGTATAATAGGCATTATTTTTATTTGGATAACAATATCTAAAAATCCAATTATTTTACAGATGGGAAATTCTAATCTTTAAAAATAGTTCCATATATTTTTAATTTCACTAAAATACAGTTCAGGGTGTGAATAAATAAGGGTTAAGATTTTCTTTAAAAATAAATGGATTTGTATTTTTTCATTTTGCACAAAATACTGTTTCGGGGCATGAATAGTTATTAAAAAACACAAGACTGTTCCTTACAGTCGGTTAGTAGATTATTCTTTAGATATAAGATTTCAGAAGCAGAGGATGGATTAATTTTTATATATTACCAATATATCAAAATCTGTTAATGTTACTCACACATGCGGGTGTGTGCATTCAAAATGCTGCATAGATATTATTTAAAGTTAAGGACACATTTTTACAAATTTTAGAAAATGTCTTTTCATTGTAGTTCAGGGGAAGAAAAGGTGTTGAATAGCCTTATATTATATTATTCAAATAGAAAGAAAAATATTCTCATAAACCAATGATGGTTTAAACTTTAACATCTCTACATAGATATTTCTTTAAAAATTGACAAAAGTCTGATTTACTATTTTCTTTTTTGCGGATACAATATATCACACCCGATACATAAGCAAAAATTGGATTTATAGACGTTGAGACTTGGCAATAACAGGTGGAAAGTAATGAATTATGCCTTCCATTATTATAGAGTAACACCCGGTCATATCTTCTAGTATTGTATAGTACCCAATGATAACCAGACAACTTCTCAAGTACACAGCATCTCTCGTGCTATTAACAAAATCTTAAACACTACTAGATTCCTGAAAGAAATACATTTTTTCTGATCAATTGCTCAATGCTCTGTGTGAAATAGAAATGTGGATCGTAAATGATCTTAGATTTTCAAGCTATTGTTAAACACAGTTCTGTTATTTTCTATTGTTAAACCTCTGCTTACACCTTGTATGGATCAAAGAGGTTATTTAAGCACATTTGAAGAACAGCTGAAAAACAGTGACTTTTAAGTCTGTCACAACTTGACTTGTATTTCCAATCCCAGCCACCAGTATTTTTATTACTTGGAAGGAAATATTATATAATTGGCATAAGCATAAATATGAGCATGGTTTTGGGGGTAGAACCATATTATTGTATGGTTTTACAAAAACTGACTCCACTCTTTGATCTATCAGGCACAGTTGAAGGTTCTGACACTTGAAACAAGTCGTTACACTCCAGTCAAAGACCTTTCACATGGTGGAATAATCATGCTCAAGAACAGCAAGCCAGAGGAGCAGGAGGATATTGTGGAGACTGTGCAGGCCGGAGGACCCAAAGCTGAGGAGGAGGAAGAGGAGCCTGAACCACCTGAGCCATTTGAATGGACTGAAGATTAGAAAGGGGCCAGTGAGAGTTAGCGTGGTGTGCTGTATGGAAGACAGTGTGACAGAGACGATTGGTGCTTCAGTGGTGGTTATTTTAATAATTTATCACATAAATCATTTTAAGTCAAGTTTGTATTGCTTACCATAGCTGTTTAGTGGAGACCAATCTGTTCACAATTATAACCTAATTTTTATTGTATTGGCTTTTGTTGCATATGATTAATGAGAGGCTGCTTTTCTATTCTTTGACCTAATACATGGTCAGCATCTGCATATAGGTGTTTTGCTGCCAACATATAAAACATCTTTAAATCCTTTCAGCATATTTTTGACTGTTTTGCAGTGGACGCATTATTTTAGGATTCTTAATGTGTACACCTTATCAGTTGTTACATACAAGGAAAAGAAAAATTGTTAATATTTATTTAATACAATTGGCTCATTGTTTTGGGGTTTTTTTACCATCTGAGATATCTTATATCCCAATGGAAAAAAATTAAGGTTGCTTATCTGTTTATGATAAAGACACATACAAATTCAGGATATTAATCATACACGTTCTGCACCTGACCGGCTTATTTCAGTGGGGGGTCTGTTTACATATCCTGGGTTCAATACTTAGTAATAGTTGTTTATAACCTATGATCTTGTCTTACTGATTTATGTTAGCTACTTTCTCCCAGTGTGAATAAGACTTGTAAGTTAACACAAATGGAAGTCTGTTTAGTTTACACAATGGCTGTTTAAAAAAAGTCTTCTTAATTTATTATATTTTTTTAATAAAGAACACACTATTTTATATATTGTATTCTAGTGTGTTACTTTGTGGTTATGATGGTATGTCACTACATTCAATTTTTCTTTTTAATTGACAAGTTGAACTCCAATAAAATGGCCTTTGCAGACTTGTATGGCTGAACTTTTTTTCAAGTGAGTTTGAAGGAAAACAGTTTTTCATTATAATTTCTATTGATCGAAACAATAAATTTCTTTCACAATGTGTTTGAACTCAATCACTGTTACCTTCTTCTATAATAGTATCTAATAAACTAAGAGGAGCTTAAAAATTCAAGTTATTTTATTACAAGCTTCATTTTTAATGTTTTCATTGAAGGCTGTATAATTCTTAATAGAAGAATTGCCATATGTCATACATTCAGTTAAATGGGCAGGGACCTGCCAAAAATTAAGACTATTGGACATTTGAAGTTTGGTATTTTATTATGGAAACATTTAGTACAATACATGCAGCTGACTCTTATGTACAATTGTTCTTGTTTGACAAGTCTTAAAAATTGAAGTTTTGTTCAATCATTAACCTAATAAATCTAAATGTTCTTAATAAGTTAATTACAATAATAAATTAGTAAGATGTCATACAACTACCATAACATTTAATAATTTTTTTTTTTAAATAGATATATTCATGAAAATATAACTGCACTGAAAACACTTAATTTTCAAAGTTTATAGAAGGGAATGCTACCAAATCAGAGTTTAAAAAGAAAATTGAATTTTAAAAAAAATACAATTCATTAGATCAAATTTTTTTTAATGTTTACTGCTAAGCCCATCATGTTTACTAAGCACCAGTTGTGAAGAGGACAAGGATATGTACAGAGAAGATATGAACAAAAATATATTATGATATAATCATAAGTTCAACTTTACTGTGTGCTGTAAAGTTAATAGCTTTTGTGTAGATTAGTAAATGGTGAATAAACTTATTGTTCAACAACTGTTATCACTCTAAAGCTGGGGTGAGCAACTTTTTGAATACATTGTGCAAAAGAAGAATTCAGCATGCCAACCAATTATCAGTTATAATACCTTAAAAGACGAGATCTTTAGTCATTAATAATTATATTTTGGTCTTCTTTGTGCCATTGTAAACTGCTCTGTGTGCCAACTGTGGCACAAGTTGCCGACTTCTGCTCTAAAGAGTTCAAGTATTAAATGCGATATTGACAAATTTAAACATTTTGTAGGTGTGAAGGGAATTTAAAAATGTATCATAACTATTTGAAGCCTATAAATATTGTGAGATGAACAGCCACAGGATTAGAGAAAATGTTGTATCAAATATATAGCTTTGATGAGATGTATTTCAGCTGACACAGTAGATCTATACATATGCTTTTTTAAAATATCCCTTTGCTAGTTTCTGATGAAACACTCTCATAAATCTAGTTCCTGAATGAAAAAAAATTGAATACTAAAAACACAAACATAAAATATTTTGCCTGAAGGTTGCTGAAAAAACAACTTTGAGATCCACTGTATAAGGTATACAATGTTCTAGGTTTGGCATTGGGTGTTATGCCAGAGTCAAATCTTGGTGGGCAGTCATCAAACAATCTCTCTGTCTCCGTCAGAGCCATGTAAAATCTGGCACCATCAATCTCATAACTCCTGGAGTTTTGGTTCTTTGGGCAGCGGGCAGTCTCCGAGCGCGAAAGTGCTATATCAGTCCAGCTTATCCTCTCGTACACCCAACATCTGAACTTGGATATCGCATCCTCTTCATCGTATGTGATCATGTATGACTTCATATCCTCGAGCCAGTGGCCCGCGCAGGTCAGGATATGGTCTGGCTCTTCATATTCCCCAATCGGCCGTCCTCTGTAGTCGACTGTCTCACAGTAAGTTGCATCAATCTCCATTTTGCTCATGTCACCATGACAGGACTTAAACTCAGAAACATTCATCAGGCAGCTGATCTTGTTCCTTGGGCTGAGAGTAATCCCTCTTATCCTAGTATCGTAGAGTTGGTAGAAATCATTAGAGTACTGTCTGAATGAGTACCTACCGCCAATGGGACAGATCACCGGGGAAGGTGGGTTCTGTATCAGCACTTCGTACTTCCAGTCAACATTGTCACGCGAGAACGTCAACCACTGCCAGCTGCACGTTTCCTTGAAGGACGTGACGAGGAAATCCTTATCCCTTGTTCGTTCGTCCAGAGTGAAAGGTAGTTTAACCGACCTGCCGACCCTGTAGCGGACGATACCATCGTGGCGAGGAACCAGGTCAAAACAAACGAAACTGATCTCACAGCGACCAACCACTACCTTGGACATGAGGAACCGTGTTCCCAGATTGGCCTGGCAGGCAAACCACGTCTCCTCATAGTCAAACTGGCTCATCATCGTACGGTAGTAGATGTGCGTATCGTTGATCCACACGCTCGAGGCGAACTGTATGCCCTGCGTGAACCACGTCCCGGTCAAGTTGCGTGGTAGGATGCACTGCGGGATCATGAAGCTGGTCTTGGGAGCGACTCGTCTCAGCACAATTCTTATGGGAGACTGCTCCAAGCTTTTGAGATTTGTGCAGTCCCCAAAGCGACTCAGACCCCATCTGATGGTGTTATCTTCTGAGTGTTGGTCCCTGAAAGGTTAGCAGGCGTTAATCAGATTGAACTCATAAATTATAACATAAAGTATAACATAAATTATAACATAAAGTATAACATAAATTATAACATAAAGTATAACATAAATTATAACATAAATTACTGATTTTTTCTTTTGAAGTCATAGCGATGTAATTTAATGCATTTATAAATATATACTTGAATAGTACCGCAGCATTTGAAAATGTATAAATAACATTTGCCTACAAAATTTACTAGAACCATTTAACCAGTTTAACAAATACTAAAATGCTTTGACCAGCGATTCTTTTGCTGTCGTAACAATATATTTGATGGATGATATTATAGTTATAGGATATAAGAAATCATGCAGGGCACAACGAGAAGAGGGAGAGGAAGAGAAAGACAGAGAAAAAGAGGGTAATATAACATCAAAGACGGGACTACAAAGTAAAGCTAGGTGATGGATGCTGTGCAAAGTGCAGAAAACAGAGAGGAATGGAAGAGGATAGGTTTCATGTCATCTGTGGCGCCCCAACGGTACAAGGACTAAGGGACATGATGATTATAGGTGCCTTATTACCTGTAATTCAAATTACCTTTTAAATTATAGGTAAAATGACCCAAAATACCCTTTCATATTGATTTATGCTATATATGGGTATAGAGTTTTTTTTTATCAAAATATTGCAACACACATTTGAACATTTTACAACAGCCAAGTGAACATTCCAGATCCAACTTAATAAAAAAAAACGCTGAAAGCTTGAGAGTCACTGATCCATAAACCTGTTAAATCGTTTACCTTAGTGTCATGAGACATTTGTACTTGTCTTGAAGAACCCCAGTCTCATCATGAGCCAACCCAACAAATGTGTATGTGTTGTTGTTCATGTTGGCGACCCATGTCCCCATACATTTGTACCTGTAATAAGAAATATGTATTGATATATTATGTGAAATTAAAACAAGTTCTTGTGCAGAGCAGCACTTAACATCTTAAAAATTTAATTATTACCGGTACAGTTGCTATTTAGTAAATAAGATGTGAAGCGATAATCATGTTACGATAAGATTCTTTGATCCAAATAAATGGATTATTTTTTGTCCATTACATTGTACACATTCATTTACAGCACATAAATAAATAAATACATATTTAAACCAAGACAACATTGTACAACTATAGCAATTTAAACATCTAAGACATCTAAATATTTCTCTAGGGTAGAAAATCAGTCATCAGTGAACTCTTTTATTAACGATAATGACTTAATTAGTGATCATTTAGATTTGGTAACTGCTGGGAGTGACCATTAGTTCTTGACCATGCGAAAAAATCATTTATTTCTTGTACAATTTAAGCTATAAAGAGATTTTTTTTTTTTTTGATCAAGTTATTTTCTTGATAAGTAATTTTACTACAATTACGGTACAAATCCTAAAGTTGGCAGGGTCTTAATTTCTTGAATTACTTTTCATTTAAATTGAGTTTCACTTCTCATCATGATTTAATTGATCCGTCTCTGTCAGCGCCATGTAAAAATCTGGCACCAGCAATCTCGTAACTCCTGTTCGCTCTTTGATAAAACAGAAGCCCGTCTTACTGATAAACACGTTGTGGAGACGGTACCTGATAGTCTGCCTGAAGCTGGTTTGAACGTCGGGGCACACCCTGAACCTCATCAGGAAATCTTTGTTGTCATAATTTGGGGAGCCGGGGGTTTGGCAGGCTTCCAGAATGTTCTCACTGTTGTTACAGATCCCACCGCCTGGACAGTTCGAGATGCACTTAATGATTTATTATAGCAAGGAGCAGGATAACCAGTTTGTTGGTGTTATAATTCGTTGTAAAAATGCTGCGCGTTTGTTAGCGTCATAATCTGTACTCAAAAAACAGTGCGTTCAAATAACTGATAAAATAAAAATTGTGTCAAGGGAGGCTATTTTAAATTGTAAATTGCTTAGCTCTTAACATTTTATTTTGATTTTTAGTTTAAAAACATAAATTAATCAAAATCCAATATACAAGGTGCTATGGCATGGATTATTACCAGATTCAGAAATTGAGGTTGGGGGGGGGGGGTGAAAA